CATTTCACAAAAGAAGATATACGTATGGTTAATAAATATATAAAAAGATGCTCAACATCATTAGTCACCAAGGAAATGCAAATCAAAACCTCAATGAAGTGCTGCTCATACCCACTACAATGGCTTAATTTTCTTTAAAAATTGACAATACCAAATATCACACATTTCTGGTGGAGGGAGTAAAATTGTACCCCCACATTAGAAAACAGTTGTGCAGTTTCTTATGAATCTTAATATGCACATATTGTACAATCTAGCAATGCCTAGGTATTTGCCCAAGAAAAATATGTGGCCACAGAAAGATCTGTACACAAATATTCATAGTAGCTTTATTCAAAATAGCCTAAAACTGGAAACAATCGAAATCACCTGATGAATGGATAAATTGTGACATACCCATACAGTGGAATACTACTAAGCAATGAAAAAATAAGAACTACCAATACATGCTACAACACAGATAAATCAGACACAAAAGAAAACATAAATCCATGTGTATTACATTCTAGAATATACTACATTAATTTATAACGATGGAAATTGCATCAGTGGTTGCCTGGGGTGGGAAATTTTGGAGGAAGGATTGACTGAGAAGGGTGCAGGGGCACTTTTTGGGGAGATGGAAATGTTCTATATATTGATTAGTGTGGTGGTCACAAAGGTGTATATATTTGTCAAAACTCAAATTAGTTTATTTTATTGCATATAATTTATTACCTCAATTAAATTTATTTCTTTAAATATATACATATTATGGAGTTCTGATCATTAATTTCCATATCCTTCTCCAAAGAAACCAGCAAAAACTCACATCCAGATATGGACACGAAGACGAATCAGCTCAATTTTTTCTTTTTCTTAATGTTGTTCAGGTTCTACTGCTGTGTCCTTCTCAGTTCTGGTCTCGAGTGGGCCTGCACTGGCACACCACTCCCATGTGTGAAAACTTTTTTCCTAATTCTGAAAATGTCCAGCCTCTGCTTAGGATGGATTTTGAATTTGGGGTAGTGACAGCCACATGCTAATCTGAGTATGAAACCAACTGAGAAGGACATACCAGAATCAGGCAGAGAAAGCTGAAAATATCAGGTCCGTCTTTGATGAGGCTGATTAATGTTTTAGGTCAGCGATCAAATCTGGCTCCCTGTTAGTTCTCCCTCCACCTGGTCACTGGCCAACTGTCCAACCTCGGCCTCTTCTACAAAGACAGACATTCCCTTAGGTCAGCTACGAGGAGGAAGAGAGAATGCCCGGGTGCTGAGGATGCCTGCTCCAAAGACAGAGAGAACCTAGAAGGGGCCGGCCATGCTCTGTCCTCATTCCAAACGCACCTGTCAGTTAAGTCTCAGGGAGGAGCAGAAGCATGCGAGGAATGGGGACAGGCTAAGAGTGGATGCTCCCGCCACCTATAAAATATAAGGACTCGTGTGTGCGGGGAGATGAGCCAGGCAGGGCCCATCATCATGGTGACCACACCGTTTTTTGTCAGGGACAATCCCAATTAAAGCCTGCCATCATGTAGAAACTGCAGATGGTGCCCCTTTCACCCTCAAAAGTGTCTCTCTTTGGACAATTAATGATACGGTCACGCCACCTACCAATCATTCGGGAAAGGGTTTGCTTTCCTCCAGAGCTGACAACGACAAATGCCTCTGCCTCCTGCCTGTGCCTTTCTATTTTTGAGGCCCAACAGCTCTTTCTCGCTCCCCGGGCACTCCCTGTGCAAACACTGCAGGATCAGGAAGGGTTTCTAAGTCTCATTTTATCTAGTCCCATGAGACCCTTTTGGCAATTTGAATTCAAGCTGAAAATGAGTGGCCCTTTGGGCAAATTCAAGATAGTCTGGCGTTTCTTGAGCACAGCCACGAAATGTTTGCCCCGCTCAGGGTTTTGCTGCTTAACTTTTCCTTTCTGCTGGGGGGGGGGGGGGTTGCTTGTGCACCGGGGGACCTCAGAGATGCGTGTGACAAGGTTGCTGTCCTTGCAGAGATCCTAACTTGGACTATGGTGGCAACTGTGCAGCTCATACCCAGTGAGCCACTCGACAGAGAGCCTTGGCAGCTGCAAGAAAGGTGGGAGCTTCTTAACAGTGGGTGGGAGAGGGAGGCAGCGCGAGGAAGCGGGGTCTGAGCAGGGCCTCCGTGCTGAGAAGGCCTTCTGGCGGCAGAGACCAGACTGAATCTCTTGGGCTCATGCGTGCAGTATGACGGCTGCCCATTGCATCTTCCACATACCCCACGCTAGTCCAGGATGAGGCGTACTCCAACAGTCCCCCAAAGTGTCACCCCCTTGTCCATGTGCTGCCAGAGCTGTCTTCCCAAAGCACAACTCTGGCCATTCTACAACTTGGCTCAAAAACTTGCAATGGCTCCCCGTGGCTGACAAAATGGCCAACACTTCAGCCTGTCCTGGAAGAATCACCCCAGTAGAGCTCACTCCTGCCCCAATACTGCCATCTTGCTGCTCTGTCCCGCTGAGAGGCTTCACACTCCTCGTTTCGGGTGTCTGCATCTCCAGTGAAAGCATCCTCATTCTCCAAGAATGGGCTCAAATGCTCTCTTCTCTCTCCACCCTTCTCCAACTTCGGGCTACAGCAGCCTCTTCCTTTCCCACTGCACGACATTCATACTAGTTCGGTAACTCTCATCCATCTGCTTTGCCTTATAATCCACTGGGTCTGTGTGCCTCCCTCTGCCATGCCAGACTTGAGACCCAATAGGGCAGCAGCACTGTGTCCTTCATGTCTCCCTCCCCAGGGGCCAGCCCAGGCCAGGGCTCAGGGCAGGCGAGTAGGAAGTGCTGCTGGGTCACATGGAAGGGTCCCACGGGACAAACACTCTTCGTCTCATCACATGCCACCGCATACATGACCTGTGTCCCGTCTATGCCCAGGGCCCCAGAAGGTGCCCTTAGTGACCACCGAGGTCGTTTTTAGGGAGGAGTTTACAGAAAGCCACCTGGCCCTCCAGTCATCGTTTTTGTCCTTTGGGTGGAACTGTAGGGGAAAAAATGGAGTATATTGGTTTACTGCTTGATCCCTGCTCCCCTACAGCAGAGCCAAATCTAAAGTGAATATTGATGACTTTACAAAGCCTGGTGTTTGGTATTCACTGAAAACCATTGTGTATTCCCTAAATAGTTCGTTTTGTTTTTGAAAGTTCTGAAAAACTTGCTGTATTGAAATGCATGTTGTTGCATCGATTTTTCTAAAATACACCTTGTTATCTTTTCTTTGGTAATTGGTGACTGGTAATGACTTTGGCAATTTAACATGTTCTTGCAGACACTTTTCCCATTCCCCTTGATAACTGAAGTCAGGAGCGAGGGCCTGTCTGTCAATCTCTGACGCCTGTCAGCCTGCATGATTGACGGCTTTTGGTCCCACAATAGAGACCATTTTTGCAGCCCCCGTTCTGTTATTTTCCCCTCCTTTAATACTTGTGGGGGATGGTGTTTGCTTTATAATCTGCGTTTAAAATCCAACTTGGAATGAGGCCAGCTCCAGAGAAATTATCACAATGTCTTGTTAGCTTTGCATCAGGAAGATTCCCCAGAGAGTTTCTTAAGCTATGATTCCACCTTCTGAAATTACCTCTGCTCAAAAATCTAAGCTTCAGCCTTCGCCCTGATCCCTTCAAATTCCAGGAGAAAGGCCGAGGGGTGCTCTAATAGAGGGCACGACCAGGGGGACCGCGCGCATCTGCAGCGGAGCCGGGCCGGGCCTCTCTCCCAGGGCCTCCGGCTAAGCCCCCGCATGAAGAACGCGGGGCTGCGCGGCGGCGCTCCGCGGAAGAATAAACAGTGCGCGGCTGCGCGGCAATTACAGGCCCGGGAAGCGGAGCAGACGGGAGCCGCTCCCAGCTAGGAGGGGGCCGTGCGGTTCCGCCCCGCACCAGCAGGTCACGTGACCGCCTGGACCTGGTGGATGAGCAACTCAAAGGAGCGGTATCAACCAGGGTCAAGAATTTAAGCGATGGCACGTTTCTCTGTGGTTGTAAACACAGGGGTCCACAGGGGTTCAATGGGGTTCGCAGATCCATTTTAGAATCTGATAAAAAAAAAATTATGTCCCCCTCCCCTCCCTAGAAAGGTGCACGTCCCTTCGTGGGCAAATCCTGCCGGCAGTTCCCGGGGAAGCCGCTCCTCTCCCGGGGTCCCGGGCCCTCAGGTGGAGGCCTCCTGCTCGCGGCGGGCGGGGAGCAGGGCTCACCCCGCGTGCTGGCTCTGCGGTGCTGGGTACCGGTATAGGGGCCGCTGGAGCGGAGTCCGTACAAGGCTGACTCCTGGGACCCGGAGCCCTTGGTCAGAGCTGCCTGTGACAAGGGTGTCGCCTGTGACTGCCCACCCCCGGGTTTTGCGTCTGTGGAGACGCCAGGCAGGTGGAGGAGCACTGATTAGGTTCCAGGCAACAAAGAAGGAACACTGGAAATTTGGCCAAACTGAGAACCAAACCGGCACCAGGGAACCAGAGACGGACAGAGGCGGGCAGGTTAGACGGTGGCGTTTCTGTAACAGTCGTAGAAACCCAACCGCAGGAACTAGCACTGCAGCCACCTTCGTGGTGCGGGCCTCCCCTTTGGTGACATCCCCTGGCACATCTTGGGAGGAGATGGCAAGTCGTTCTTAAAGGGACTGAGCCTCATTGAAAAAAAAAAAAAAGTCCAAAACTTAGTATTTTTCCCTTCTCTGCTTCCTTCGCATCACAAAGTACTATCGGCATTATTGCTCCTATGCGTAAAACCCAAAGAATCCTTAAGGAGAGAGGGTCCGCTTGTACTTCTCATTCCTCTCAGGATGAGGCCCAAGCTTTTATGGTGGACGCACAACTCTTTATAAGGACAATGACACCTGCCATCTAGGGAGCAGGCACGAGTGCCAGGTGTTCACACGCGTCATCTCATTTAATCACGTCACTCAGTGACGTTGATGGGCGTGGTGGGCAGAATAATGGCCTCCTAAACATGTCCACATCCTAACCCCAAAACCTGTGAATATGTCACCTTACGTGACAAAAGGGACTTTGCAGTTGTGATGAAGTCAAGGATCCTGAGATGGGAGATGGTCCTGATTCCCCGGGTGGCTCCAGTGTAATCTCAATCATGGTGAGAGGGAGGAAGGAGGGCCAGAGTCAGAGAGGAAGGGTGGGGCGGAGGCGGAGGTTGGAGCGATGCACATAAGCCAAGATGCGGGGGCAGCGGAGAGAGGGAGGGAGGCGTTCTCTTCTCTCCAGAAGGAGCACAGCTCTGCCGACTCCTTGATGTGAGCTCACGAGACCCATTCTGGACTTCTGAACTGCATATTACGTTCGTGCTGTTTTAAGGCCCCATGCTTGTGGTAATTTGTCACAGGTGCAACAGGAAACTAATACAGTACAATTAGCCCTCCTTTTTTCTCCAGATGAAGACACAGGATCTCAGCAAGTTTATGTGATTTGCCTGGAGTTTCAACATATAGAAGTATGCAAGTCTGCATTCAGCAGTAAGTCTGTCTGGTTCTAAACACCCATGACCTTAACCGCCTGGCCACACTGCCGCAGTGGGTTCAAACCTCATTATCAGCCTCCTGTGCTCCCTTCCTGGCCTCTCCACCCCACACTGCAACCCCACCCAATGCCCTCACTCCATCTGTCATCGCCTCTGCCTGGAGCACCCTCCCCACCTTTACACTGCAGACACCTGGGGGCCAGGCCCTGCAGCCACCATCCAGAAGAGTTGCTCCCGCTTCGGAAGGAGCCACGTGCTCTGTGCCAGCATGACCTGGTCAGGGGCATGTTAGCCCAAGGGGACCACCTGCCTCCAGAGCAGAATTCCCCAGACACCGGCGCTGAGGTCTGAGCTCCATGCACTAGAATGTGCATTTTAAGAGCCACTGTGGCGGTATTTGCCTCCCTGCTAGAATGTGACTTTCACCAGGGCTGGGTCTTTCCTTTCCAGTTCTGTCCCCTGCACGGGCCCATTGTGAAGATTAATTCTCCATGACAACTCGGCGGGTCCACGGAGCCCAGGTATTTGGTCAAACGTTATTTTGGATGTTTCTGTGAAGGTGTTTTTTGGATGAGATTAATATTTAAACTGGTGGACTTTGAGTTAAGCAGATTTCCCTTCACAGTGAGAGTGGGCCTCACCAAAACTGACCCCTGAGCAGGAAGGAACTCCTCCCGCAGACTGCTCCGGACTCGAGCTACAGTTCTTGCCGGGTCCCAGCCTGCCAGCTTCCCCTGCAGATTTTGAATTTACAATCCACAATCAAACGAACGAACTCCTTAACATAAATCTCTTTCTCTCTCTCTCTCTGCACACATACACCCTGTTGTTCTGTTTCTCTGGAGAATTCTGCCTAAACACACCAATTAATAAATATTTTTCAGATGGCTTCAGAGTGGGATTCATAGCTGGCCTTTGTAAATTTTCTTTTACACCCAAAAGCCCTGCAAGAATTATTTCACAGAAGGTCTAGGAGCTTAGAATAGTTGAGCACTTTCCCCTGAATCAGGATTCCTGAAACAATGATAGGTTAGGAAGGACAGGAAGGCATGGATAGGAAGGCACTGCCCATCTGGGGGTTCTCACGTGAAGAGGGGTTCTTGCTGTGCCCAGCTACTAGGGACCAGGGGCAGCTGAGGGGCAGCAGAGCCTGGGGTCTGGGACACTCAGACTAATGAACCAGGCACCCTAGCCCACAAAACAACCGTGAAAATATCACTCGGAGTTTCCGACCATGGTTTTTGAATAACTGCTCAAACACTAGAGCTGTAGGCACCTGAGAGGCCACCCCAGGTCTCTGGTATACCTTGTAGCATTTCATTAATCATTTCAATGAAACTTTTATGTGCCTTCTATGAGGCAGGCACTAGGAATACAGAGGTGAACCAGGCAGAAAAAGTCTCTTTCTCCATGGATTATATTTGCTAGTGGGGGTAGGAATCAAGGAGAAAGGACAGATAGTAAACAGAAAATAAAATAAAATTTAAAAGACATAATCAAGGCTCCCATGAAGAATTAAAGTCTAATCTCCTTCCCCTTGAATCTGGGAAGGTTTGTGACTCACCTGTAACCAATCGGATATGGCAGAGGAAGCTAAGTATGATTTCTAAGGCTGGTTCTAAAAGGTGATGATGCTTCTGTCTTGTGTAGTAAAATATTTGTCCCTAGTGTCATGAGAACCAGCCACCAATCCTTATCCTCAGACCGCCATGTTGTCAGGAAGCTCAAATTTGCCTTCCTCAAAAGACCACATGGAGAGGCCATCAGATTACATGCACAGAGAGAGGGATGCTGAGCCAGGCTCCAGCCCTTCACTATTCCAGCTCTGGGTACCATGACTGCAATGCATGAGAGATGCTAAGCCAGACCACCCTGCAGAGCCCTTCCCAAGTTCCCGACCCACAGAAACTATAAGAGATAATATTGTTGTTTTAAGCTACTAGATTTGGGGTTGATCTATTACACAGCAGTAGATAACCAGGACAGAGAGAGGGCAGGAGGTAAGGGACTACTTCATAATAGGGAGCCAGGAAAGCCTCTATTGGAAAATGACATACGAGCTGAGACCTCGACCACGAGAGGAGCAGCCACGTGGAGGGGAAGGGGAAGAGCCTTCCTGGCAGAGGGAAGTGCAGGAGTCCTGGCACAGCAACACTCTAGGACACTCACAGAGGAGCAAGAAGGCCAGTGTGTTGGGGCAATAACAAATGAGAGGGTGAGTGGATGGAGAAACATTGAGAGAGGTAGGAAGGTAGATCAGAGAGAGCTTTTTAGGCTGGGTCACCAGATGTCCCAGTTTGCCTGGGATAGTCCTGGCTCAGGCCTGTGGTTCTAGCTAATATTATGGCCACCCAGCAAAAGCCATGGCCAACAGCCTGGTATGCTTTTTCTTTATTCTCCACTGTCCCCAGGCTGATCCCTGTGCCCCCCACCTCTACCTGCACACTCCACCCCAAACCTAAGAGACAGTCCCTGCCCTCTTGTGCATCCCTCTCCCAGCTTTGCTGTTTGCTTCCTTGATTCTTATCCACGTTGGAAACAGCCAAGTCTGTTCCTTCCGTGATCCCAGACTGTGCCTCCAACTTAGTGGGAGATGTGGAGAAACTGGCTGGAGAGGTCATTTGGGGTCCAAGGTCCTGGGTGCAAGTTCTAGATCCACTGTGTCTGGCCTACATGACCTAAGGTGGCTTGTTTTCCTTCTTAGTCCTTGAGATTCTCATCTATTACGTAGAATTTTAAAATGTTTATTTCACAGGGTTATTTCAAAAAGAGCAGGTGACTATTTGCCAAGCAAGAGTTGGTTTCAAGTCTGAGGAAGCTTGACAAGGTGCTATGGTTTTAACGTCCCATCCAAAACTCAGCTGAAATGTAATTGCCATGATGGTAGCAAGAGGAGGGACTATTAAAAGATGATTAGACTATGAGGGCCCCACCCTCTGAATGGCTTAAAGCTGTTATGGCAGGAGCGAGTTCCTGACCCTCTTGCACCCCATCATTCATTCTCGCCCTCCCCTGTCCTGCCATGGGAGGACACAGCAAGAAAGATCACAGCAGATGCTTGATATTGGACTTCACAGCCTCCAAAACTGTAAGAAATAAACTTCTTTCCTTCATAAATTACCCAGTGTGGTAGCTGTTACTGTAACACAAAATGAACAAGAGGAAAGGGATTTCAAAGAAGAAATGCCTGACGTTTAGGAGGAGGGATAAAATCATTGGAGGGCTCACTCTGGGGATGTTTAAGGTGAAAACAGCTGGCTGCCTCCAGAACAAGGTGGATCTGTACTCCTGAACTAGAGGCTGGGCTCTGCATGGGTGACCTCTGTTCACTTCTGTTAGTGAACAGATCACTTCTGTTAATTAATGAGTGAATATATTCACTCAAACAGGCTTGGATTCAAGTCCTAGTTCTCTCACTTGCTGGCTAGGTCAGCTTGGGCAAAGTGCTGCCTCAGTTTCCTTACCTGTAAAATGGGATAAATAACAGCACTTATTCTTGGGGGGGGGGGGGGGAAGGTTGGGAAATTAAACCAGAAAAGTATGAAAACATGAACCCTGTGCATCATACATATGAGTGCTAAAATAATGTTAGCCTGCTTTTATCCTGCTTACAGTGGACCAGGCACTGGATTAGACTCTGGGGAGGAATATGAATACAAAAGTGCTTCCAGGGTAATGATGGGGAGGAGGCAAGTATTTGCATAAGCTGCCATTACACACATTGAAATCAATGAAAGGGTAGAGGCAGGAAGGCAAGTAGCCACTGAGCAATGGAGAGGGTCCCCCCAACCCCTGGTGGTTTCCCTGGTCCTAGCTTCAATTCCAATGAGTTCTGGCTGAGTTTAGTGTCTGTGGGACTTCCGTGTTCTTACAATAGCCACTGTCCACCCCACCCCCCATTTGAGATTACTCCTTTGTGAGCAGGGATCCCCCAGGAATGCAAAAATGTTACAAAGTTGTCAGCATGTTTTGGAAGCCCCAAGGAAGATGAAGTTGATTATTTCCCATTGCAGCTGGGGGAGGTTTGGGTGCCAGGAGCTTAAAACTTAGGTGGGACTTGCACCTACATTGTGTGGGGGTGACACTTCTGTGGAGCAAAGAGTAAATGGTCAGAAGGATGGAAGCCAGAAAATGCAGGGCATATTCAAAACCCAGGGGGAGGTACAACCTGTCAGGAATGTGAGATGTTTGAAATAGAGTGGGGAGCCACAGGGTTGGAGAGGGAAGGAGGATCCAGGTCCCTTGGGCTCCAGGTAGCAGACTGAGGAGCTAGGACTTCATTTGTAGAAAGCAGGGCATCACTATCAATGCTTTTAGGCACAGGGGCAACAGAGGCAGGGAAGGTGAGCCACCATTTGAGGGTGGATGTGCTGCACATCCCTAGAAGCAGAGATGACAGAGAAGGCTGCTGCAGGGGCCTGGGCAGGGATGATGGGGGTGCTAGGGCAGGGCCAGTGGAAACTGAATGGCTTATCACCAAGGTCAGCAGGAAAGGGTGTTTTGACTCTCCAGTTTGGTCACATGTCTATATCTGGGTTGGGAAACATCCTGGCAGTCCACCAGGGTCACATGGAATGAGGGGAGAATTTCCCAAAGGAACCAGAAGGAAGACACTGGAAACATGTGCTGAGCAAAGCAGCAATAACACAAACCAAAAAACTATAACTTTGTCAAATATTTTGCTGGAAACAACAAAACTTAGGATAGGCTAAAAGGTCAACATAGAAGAGAAGGAAAAGGCATAAAAGTTCAAAGTCATAGGGGTGTCCATTGCAGCATTGCTCTTAGTAGTAACAGCTGGAAACCACCGGAAGATCCAGCAGCAAGGGACTGGTTACATAAATTATAGAACATTCATTCAATGGGGCTATACACTAGACTTAAAAAGGAAATAGTAGATGCTATGGTTTGCATGTGTCCCCCAAATTTCATATGTTGGAAACTAAATCTCCAAATTTGTATGTGGATTTAAGGTGGAGCTTTGGAGAAGTGATTAGGATTATATTAGTGTAAGGTCATCAGGGTGAGGCCCCCAAGATGAGACTGGTGGCTTTATAAGAAGAGAAAGAAAGAACAGACACACACGCTCTTGCTACTCTTGTCATGTGATGCCCCCTCTGCCATGTTATGATCCTCCATGAGGCCCTCATCAGAAGCTGATCAGAAGGTTGCCTGATCTTGGACTTCCCAGACTCCAGGAATCACGAGCCAAAACAAACCTCTTTTCTCTCTCTCTCTCTCTCTCTCTCTCTCTCTCCCCCTCTCTCTCTCTCTCTCTCTTTGAGACAGGGTGTCACTCAGTCACCCAGGCTAGAGTACAGTGGCATAATCACAGCTTATGGAAGCCTCAAACTCCCAGATTCAAGCAATCCTCCCGCCTCAGCCTTCCAAAGTACTAAGATTACAAGCATGAGCCACTGTGCCCTGTTAACACGCTTTTCTGTATAATTACCCACTCCCATGTATTCAGTCATAGCAACAGAAAATGGACTAAGACAGCAGATTTGAAAGCATAGGCATAGAAATCTATCTATGAGACAGCAGAGTGTAGAAAAAAAGTAGTTAACGGAACAATGTGTATAACATAATCCTATTTATGTTGATAAAGTGATGTAGCAAATTTTTTCTTAAAAATATCAGAAAGGCTGATTCTTACAAGAACAGCAGTCATAGAAGAACAGCACTTTTGTGGAGTGATGCTTGGGGGTGAGGGCTCCATGTCAATAGAATTCAGGAGAACACAGCCCAGAGAAAGAAGAGGTGGTGGGAGGAAGCAGGAAGAGATTTTTAGCAGCTGCTATGAATGAGACACTGGGGAGAAAGAGAGATGTCTAAAGCCGACTCAGAAAACTGTGAAAAGCCCCTGCATTACCTTTTTAAGGAAACCAACAATAAAGATTTACATTATTCTTCAGGCTTCTGCAGTCTGATTTGGGTTATTCTGGATGACTGTTGAGCAGAGACTGGCCTTAAAGGCTTCCTAGATATATTTGGGTCACATCCATATATATTTATATAAGCATTTTAAAAAAGTCTGAAAGGATATACACAAAACTGTCAACAATGGTTATCTCAGAAGGATGAAATATCAAGGGACTTTTACTTTCTCTGTAAGAAAAGTTTTTTTAACTTAATCATGCATTATTAGAATAAACAATACAGAGATAAAGAAAGGAAAAGGAAAAAAATCCACTGAACTCAAAGTGCAGAGTAAATAAATACATGTTAGCTACAAGCATACTCAGTAAACAGTAATTAAGTACTAAATTAAATAAAGCTAGAAACAAAGACTAAAATGGTGAAAACCCAAGACAATGGGAGACCTCCCTCCCTTACCCCTCCAGCAGTGCCAAGCAGAGGCCTTGCTGCTGGGGGCTGGGGCTGGGGCTCCACTTCCAGGAGGAGCCTGAGGCTGGCAAGGCTCTAGCCCACAGGCTAAGGGCTGTTCCAGAAAGGGCTTCTGGGAGATGAGGCCCAGGGACAGATTGGGGGGTGGGGGGAGGTTAGGGGATTAGAGACACATGTGTTGGACCTGTGTGCCTATGTTTTAATTGCACTCCAAGTTCTCTCTCCTCCCCTCTGCTACCCTCTCCTTCCTCTCTCTCTCTCTCTCTCTCTCTCTCTCTCTCTCTCTCTCTCTCAGTTGGGTTCAGCAAATATTATGGGAGTCAACTCTGTATAAGACCCCATTCTGCTCTCAGAATAAGTTGCAATGGTAGGGCGGGGTCTCCCATGAAAACCAGGAGAGAAAAGTGTAGGCAAACACCCCTCCCTGGAAGACCAGGGTGACACCTGAGCACAGGTGGGAAATTTGGGCCAGTGTACAGCAGACAGACAGCACAGCTGGAACCTAAGTGCAGGGGCCTATCTGCTCCACGTTCAAGATCTGGTGACCTGGTGATGCAGGAGGGTAGGATGTGCAGGAAGGAACATAGGATCCAAGTCCCAAGGGCAAAGGGCCTGGAATGTTATACCTAATAGCTGAGACCTTATCTTCTAGGCCTTGGGGAGTGACAGTCAGGTGTGCATTTGATACAGATCCCTGGAGCTGATGTGGAGGACTGTTGAAAGGAGAGAGGAGAGGCAGGCACAGAGTGACAGGGCTGTCGGGTGGTCCAGGCGTGGTGGGATGAGGTCCCACGTGAATGCAGGAGGGATGAGAAGATGCCGAGAGAACGGTACACATCCTTGGGCAGGCAGCTGTTATCTGGGGCAGATATCGGGGAATCTCAGTGAATCGCTCAGCAGACTGCCTAGTCCTCCAAGGAAACAACCTCTTGTTTGTATCATTCATTCACCCTATTGCATAGCATTCATTCACTTGACAGACATTTTTTGTTGTTTTTTTTTTGAGACAGGGTCTTGTTCTGTCACCTGGGCTAGAGTGCAGTGGAATCATCTTAGCTCACAGCAACCTCAAGCTCCTGGACTCAAGGGATCTTCCTGCCTCAGCCTCCCAAGTAGCTGGGACTACAGGTGCATAGCACTGTGCCTGGCTGATATTTCTATTTTTTGTAGAGATGGGGTCTCCCTATGTTGCTCAGGCTGGTCTTGAACTCTTGACCTTAAGGGATCCTCCTTCCTCAGACTCCTAATGTGCTAGGATTACAGGCATGAGACACCACTCCCGGCTTGATAGACATTACCGATGCTTTCTTTATGCTCAGTCCAGGCCAGCCACCAAGATACAGGCATGAATGGGACATAATTCCTGTCATCTAGCAGCTTAGAGTCCACTAGGGAAAGCAAACATGATATACTGATTATAAAAATGGCCCCAATTATTCCTCAACCTGTATGTACAGGCCTTTGCAAGGTGACTTCAGGGTTCCTCTTACGAGGTGCAATCTCTTTCCCATGCCTAAATCTGAACTGGCCTTGTGATCTGCCTTGGACAATAGAATGTGGCAGCTCCACGCCTGGGCCCAGGAGGTTTGGGGTACTGTTTCTCAGTCCCTTGGAACTTCGGTGTGCTGTGAAAGACCACATGGAACAGAGCTAAGTCAGTGCAGTTGTCCCAGCTGGGGCTGAAGTATTTATTAAAAAGCACAGCCAAGATCAGCCCAGCCCAGCCAAAACCAGCAGCACTTCCGGATGACTCAGATTCACAAGCAGCAATAAATAATTTTTAATTTACACACCATGTCTTGGGTGGTTTGTTATGCAGCAATAGCTAACTGATACAGAATGTAATAAACTGATTTTCTCAAAAAAATACTATAAAAATGTATAACCCAGATGTCACTAGGGCCTCATAAACATCCTCTGTTCTCATCCTACACCTACTGTCAAGCAGGAATCAGCACTGGATCTTCCTCTGCATCTCTTACATTTCTGTACATTTTGAAAGAAAAGGCACTGGCTGTCTTTGGCACCGTCTTTTAAAGGATATTTGTGTAATGAACGGCCTTGGAAAC